CGCGCGTGCGTGCGTGATGTGCGTGCATGTGTGTGTTGTGTTGTGTGTGTACGCGCAAGGCGCGCGTGCGTGCGTGATGTGCGTGCATGTGTGTGTTGTGTTGTGTGTGTACGCGCAAGGCGCGCGTGCGTGCGTGATGTGCGTGCATGTGTGTGTTGTGTTGTGTGTGTACGCGCACGGCGCGCGTGCGTGCGTGATGTGCGTGTGTGTGTATGCAGCTGCTGTCTTCGCTGATAAATTATTGCAATAAATGTTCCTTCGGAAGTTATTTATGGGTAATTCGATACCCGCGACATCGCATGAGGTCCTCAAGTGACCATGCCGAGTCGTGTTTATGGGAGCGAGTGTTGACGACAACAACGTACAAGACGGCCCATGCAGGACGACGCTCGTGCGGTAACACGTCTGTAAGAATGGACGGACAGACGCGTCACGCTGTGCGCGGGCCCAGATAAACTTACGGTAGACTTGTAACGGCCAGGGATAATCACGCCGCCACCCACTAGGCTACTGCGCGTCTCCCATACCCCGGCGGCAGTGACACACATTCTAGACGTAAATTCTTCGTGCGGAACGATTTTTCCTTCGTGGAGAATTCTTCATCTTATGACGTGGTATTTCGATGGGGTCGGGGGAGGGGGGCTTGACAACCCCACGAGCTTAATGGGAATTTACGCGGAACGTGAAACGGATGCAAATTTAAGCGCAAGTCGCGTATTTTTTTTCCGCGTCTTTTTTCCGCAAACGACTTTTTCGCTGAATCGATGATATTTTCCTCCCACACGATGCACGCGTCTGGCGGAGACGTCCCACCAATCTTCCTGTCTCCTCTCTAGCCCTGGGTTCCTTTTCGAATGCTCACCGCTGTTCTCACGGCTCCATGCACCGCGGTACACCGTTCCCTCCCTTACCCTACTCCGCATATCATAACACTATATATCATTATATCAGGAGTGTATCAATATCAGGAGTGAGTCAATCAATTGATACACTCCTGATTATATAACATATATAACGCAAATCATAACAAAATATAGCATTATGTAACATGTATAACTCAAATCACAACTTACTTTACTTATATAACATATATAACCACGCACATATTTTTATTTTATTTACATGATGACCCCTCCCCCATCGTGTCACTTTGATGCCGACCGCCAATCCGTTATCTGTTATACTATCTCTCTCAGCGTTCGGCGTTTCATATATAGAAGTCTAGACTCTACGCACGCTGATTATGGTGCCGTCTCGGTTATAGAGTTACCCCCGTCCGCGAGCGCCGATCATCACAGGTATTTTATCGTAAGTAGGCCACGCGATGCGCAGGTATATAAGGAGCGGCATTGGCGCGCGGCTCGGGTGGTTGGCTTGCCAGTGTGTTTGTCGGTAGTAGTAACGCGCGGACGGGATCCAGTCGTGAGTAGCATTTACCCTATTGGATATATCAACAAGGTAGGAGTCTCTCAATATATATATATATA